ATTAGGTTTTCACGAAATGGTGAACTTGCATAAAAAGGTTACATTTTAGACTTCAAAATGAAAAGTGAATGGTTTACAAAAAAGTTATAATAATAATAAAAGGATCTACGAATGTTCTCTTCCAAGGCTTTACAGCGGTGTTAATTTGCACGATCTTAGAGGCCACAGCACAGGTCCCAGCGTAGGATAATGCGCTCAGCACAAGTTTCTTTCAATAAATTAATTGCTTCGTTGGCTGTATGACATGTAGCGCCATCATTTTGGAACAAAAGGTCATTTACATTATCATCCCCCAACTCAGGCAAGAAAAAGTCATTAATCAAGGCTTTATAGCGTTTCCCATTGGCTGTAACATTATGGTCGGCTTCATTTTTGAAGAAATATAGACTTCCCTCTGCCCATTAGGCACACCAAATAGTCCCTTTTGGGGGATGTTACGGCGTTTCAAATATGGCTTGTGGATCATTATCACTTCAAAAGCGACGATTATGTTTTTTACCATACCCATTCAACTAAAAGTGAGCATCATCGTTGAAAAAATTTTCTTGCGATGCGTCGCGCTTTTCGATGCATTACTTTATTAATAAATTTTTACGCCTTCCAAACGTTTTTCCAGAGTAAGTCTGTTCATTATGAAATATCAAACCAAACTTAATATAAATTAAGTTATAGCTGTCAAAAAAGCAAATCCGGAAAAAGTGTTGCCTCATAGAGAACCACTCGTCTAAAAACAACACCCGTTATAACAAAGATATGTACAAGTTAGAGCTTCGGATATTGAAGTTGTTATACAATATTATACATAAGAATAACATAACTTTCATCAAAAGTGAGCTAACTATCAAAATGTGCCCTTAGAAGGTGACTTAATTTCCGCAGATCAGTGGATCATGTATATGAATACAATTCACAATCTTTAAATGAGTTGAAAATATTACATAAATACAATTATTAAAATTATCATATTAAAAACTAGGTAAATCAATTTTGTGAATTATAAAAACGAGTGCAATTATGTATTTAGTGCGGTAATAATTATTACAGATATACATGCACACATACATACAGCAACAAATAAATTTTAGCGCGTACTAACCATACGAGCAATTTAGTTGATGACATTTTTATAGCAAGAGTTGGACTAAACGTGCAAATATAGTGTTAGAAACAAGAGAGTGGCAGTTATTTAATTACATAAGTATATATGTATATAGCTAGATTCATACATATGCTTTGGTATAGCATATTACATGTGCTTCCACGGAGGATGATATGTCGCGACGGATAACGGCTTTGTTGCATAATAGTCCGACGCACTTACGTGACATCCACAATTGGCGGGGGATATGCTTTAAATTAAATTTAATACAATTAAGTATGTTTTTGTTACACACTGCACGTGCAGGCGCACACGTCGACGGTTTAATTGGCGGTGTGAAAGCGAAATGATTCAGCGGCAGGTAAATTATGGCGAACATTTCAAAAGTCAAATAAAATAACCAAAACAGTCGGTAAAAGAAGTAAATAAACAAATACTCAGCTTTTCTCGATTATGAAGCAGCAATATATCATACATACATACATACAAGTGAATGAAAAACAATAAAGCATAATCACCGCAGGCGAATGGCCCTGCCAGTCGCGTGGAAGCCCGCCAATTTTCACTTTCTTTGGCAAATTATAAATATGTTAACAACAACAATAATCATAAATGTGCACAAATATTGCATGCAACAATGCAGTGTAGAGTTGCGCCAAAAGAAATATCATAAGCACACATTTAGAGAAGTTATAAAACGAAAATTACAACACTAAAATGAAGGCACCAAAGGGGGAAAGAAAGAAAGGTGAACAAATTGCTTCTTTTTATGTCTAGGAATAAGTTCATGAAGCAAAAAATTAGTTTCAGTATGGAAATTGCAGAGTAGGGAGAGTATAAAAGAAGGCAGCTGAAAGTTAAAGAGAATAAATATTAAAAAACACTGGAATATTCATGTACTCTTAGAAGAATTTGAAATGTGAAGCAGAAAAAATCAATAGCCGCCCAGTGGTTTGCTGCAATGATTTTTTTTAATAAGTAATATTCTGTTTTTATAAAAATTGAATTAAGTTTCTCACAGTTTTACGAAATAATCAGACCAGATATGAAGTGATGTCCAAAACATTCTAATGTGGGAAAGTTTCAAAGTTATAATTGTTATACTCTTTTAACATGTTTCTACAGAGTATAATAGTTTTGTTTCACCTAATGGTTATTTGTAAACCAATCAAGATAGATATAGAGTTATATAAATACAAATAATCAGGATGACGAAGCAAGTTAAAATCCGGATATCTGCCTGTGCAAGCTGTAACTTGAGTAACAATTAAGATATCGTAACGAAGATTTGTACATGTGTTCTTTGGCAAAAAAGTAAGGACGAGTTCACAGATGGGCGTAATCGGACTACTGCCACGCCTACAAAACGGCATTAAACGAAAACCTAAAAGGGCAATAACTAAGTACTTAATCAAGATATAAAACTGTAATTTGAAACAGGGGATCGCAGTAACAAAAGGCTGGTGGTGGGTGGTGAGCTAACATTTTGAAAAAACGTCTCAGAGGTTTAATGTACATATCACCTAAACAGCTATAGTTTTAATAACCAAATTCGCTCAGAATAAATCGTTTAAGCACCACTACAGATACTGTTAGAAATTACTAACAGCGCGATAAATCAAATAATAAAAATCTTATCGAAACAAAACTGTTCAAGCCTCTGTTACCGAATATATGGACCACAATTGCTATTGCGAGCTTTATATTTTATATTATAGAAGCTCAGAAGGAGTCTTTATCTGTTATTAAAAATGGGTTGAATCAGATCAATAATTCCCTTAGTCCCAATATACGTAATAGAAAAATTTTCGAACTTCCGGCTTACTTTATAACGTAAATATCAGTCAATATGGGAGTTATCTTAATGAAATTAAAAGAGCATGTTTTTCATACAACAATTTATCTTTGTGTATAAAATTCTAATCTTATCTATCTAAAAAATTGATCAAATCGGGTGAAAACTTGCCTTGACCCGCATATATTTGTGATGATATGTGATGTATCTCAATGAAACTCAGAGATCATCTTTTTCTGTGGTAATAGCAAAAAAAATGCGGTTAAATACCCTATCTCTCGCATACCTAATATAAGATTTTCAAACTCTTGATTGGCTTTATACCATGAACATGTAAGATATGTCAACAAAATTAACTGAACGGATAATATTGGCCGAATTTAGCCATTCCTTCCTTGTTTAGTTTTTGAGTCATTGCCAGACCGTTTTATGTAACCCAAAAATTAAATCTTTAATACATGGTTTTAAACATTTCTTTTTTTTTGGTTTTTTTTTTGTGGGCCATGAAATATTCATGATATATATGATAGAAATACATTCCTTTGCAACTTTTCTTATGTACAGTATAGTCGGCTAATCCTGAAACGGTATCAAATAATTTATAATACTTAAAAAATTTGCAATTTTTATGAAAGCGATTTTTATCTGAACGAATTTTCAATAATAAGTAAACGATGTAGCATTTCTTCATGCCTATTAATAACTGTTTTCATTATTTACATTCTAAAAGTGTTCACCTGAAACTGCAAATCACATATCATTTCTTCAAATACATTAAAATTTCGGGTGTTTTTTTAGACGGCTGGTTTTCAATGAGACTTTCTGAGTTGGTCTTTACTTGATTTATACTCAGTTTGGCTTGCCATTTCATAATGAATAGACTTACTCTCGAACAACATTTACAAATGGACCCAAAAAGAGATGGATTCCAATGCCAAGTAAATTTTGTTCCGCGATGAAGCTCACTTTCGGTTGAATGGGTACTTTATTAAACAAAATTGTCGCATATCCTCAAAAAGTCACTGTTTGGTGTGGCAGAGGGAATCATTCGTCCATATTTCTTCAAAAATGTAGCCGACCATGATTAATAACTTCTTCGGGCCTGAATTGGAGAATGTTGATATGAACTCCCATTGCTTTCAACATCTGAACTGAACTTTTGAAGAGCGCATTATTTCGCGTAGTGGGCTTGTGGCGTGGCCACCAAGATCGTGAGATTTAACACCCCTAGTGTATTATTTTTTGAAGTCGCTTGTCTACGTTGATAAGCCCTAGACGATTAACGCTCTGGAAGAGAATATTCTGCGCGTTATTGCTGACATACCGCCCCAATTGTTGCAAAAAGTGGTCGAAAATTGGGCCTTTCGGCTGTTAATCGTGTGGCGGTGATTTACCCAATTAAATATGATTGTCTTTTTTCATAAATAGTTGCAATTTTTAATTGTTTCTTCTGATTCCATCTTTAAGCCTGATTCATTGTTCATGGAAACATTTGTACGAGTTTTTAGAAAAATGTATGACATAAAACCATAATTAGGATTTAAGTTTTTTATAAATTAGACTTTAGAAAGTCAACTTAACTTCATTATATTTCATCTTATATTTTCTGGCGATATATTACAAATTTTTTTTAATTAGAATAATAAGGTCAATAATTGTTTTTATTTTTAATCTTTTAATCGGGGGTCAAAATTAGCATTATATACTTACTTAAAAGCACCGTTTAAACAGTGGCTTTAAAGGTTGTAATACCAACTCATTATTGGAAAAACTGTTTTTTCAAAAAGTTGTAATAAATTGTAAATTCATAAACGAAACTCACTTTTTTGTAATAAATATTTTTGAAAATTTTATTTGATATACGGTATCCAAAAGGAAAATGAGGATAGTAATAAAACATAATGATCACTTACAGCAAACGCAACTGAAAAAGTAGTTCGACAAAATTAAAAATAAATCTTACTCAAAAGTAAAATATAATTAGCACAGCTTTTGCTATCTCCTTTCGTTAATTTTGTTTTTAAGCCTCAGCACTTCATCAAAATGAATAAAGCACTCATGTATTTTAATTTTAATTTATTTTTATTTTTTTTTGTTTTTTTTTAGTTTTTGCAAATAAATTGCACTTCATAATCAACTTAACTGCAGCTCATATTTTGCTACTCTACACGCCCCTGGAGGTAAGCGCCACACAGAAGCAGGTACGGTCTTCAATTTATGTAGGCATAGCTGTAATTTTAAGCATGACTTAGAGTACACTTTCAGGTTGCCACTTACGTTGCTGCCACTTGGTTCTTCGTTTTGGTTTTGCATGCAGCAGAATTTTTTTAAGGATTTGGCACCAAATATTTCGTACTTATGTTATGTGCGTCATTAAGTACTTCAGTAATGCCATTAAAGCGGGTCTTCATTTCTCCCATCCATGCCTTCTATCACATTTTTTTTTATACCCTCAACAGGATGTGTTAAGTTTGCCGCGAAATTTGTAACGCAGAGAAGGAAACGTCGGAGAACCAATAAAATAACACATACTCTGTATATACGAGAACTAGTCACTCGATTTCGAGATATCGATCTGAAATTTTCCACATGTCCTTTTCTCCGAAAAAAGGTGCGCATTTGTCGAAATTTGGCACGAATTCTTTTTCAAGGAAGCGATACAATCTCTGTAGAAATTGTTTATGTTATGTTCCGCCTTGCAGTTTTCTTTTTTTATTATTATCAGATAGTAAAATTCAAATCCCGCTTCCAACTACCTACAAAATATCTCGTTTCATTAATTTTTTTTGAATAGAATGTTGCAAAAAGGTCTCTTATAATTTTTTGTTAAGTGCTTACGAGGTATTCATTGTCAAACATTTTTCATTGCCTATCAAAGGAAAACTTAAAAAACAAAAAACTACAAAACAATGAGCTTTGCAATTTTGTTTTTTCGTTCAGTTATAAAGTTCAAAATTAAAAAGTTTGCCTTAAAAAATATATGAAAATAGTAAAGTTTTAACTGTCCTTTCTTTTATCTCTATCTTTTAAACGGTTATGTTTACGAAAAAATTGTTAGAGACCATTTTGTAGAGCACTCAATTTTCTACAAAATTCGTTAAACGAAATATATTTTATTTTCATGTAGTTGGAAAGGAGATATGAATCTTTCTATCCGATCATAAGAAAAAAATAGATAACGGTAAAGCGGCTAATCTTCCTGTTGCAATTAAGAGCTGATACTTGGTGCGCCTTTCTTAGAGGTGTCTACCAACTAATTTTTCGAAGCACCAAGAAGAAAAAAAATTCCGTTTTTTTTAACCATCCGAATACAAATATATTTTCCATAAATATGTGACACAAATATATCGATCGCTTTAATTTTACATTCAAAATCTTGTCACGTATTTTACAAATAAAAATCTTTGTTGAATATAATTCAGTACATATACATGTACATATGCATATTCACTGCTAATTAGTAGTTTATGTTTCTAATATAAAATATTCTCGTATTCTTTATAATTCAAATTTCTTGCGTAACAGTGCCGTCATTGTGAAAAGGTTCCTTATCATAAATAACTACTGACCTTCGAAGAAAACTTAACTAATGGTTTTTTCGAGGATTTAGAGTTCGTTTATAATATTGTACATATCATTAGAAAAATACTCTAATTACCAACTACGAAATTTTAGCACATGAGTTATCCATTACCGGATGATACATGAATATGTATGTATGTATATTCAATATGGCGTTGCTTGGGAAATTATGCTAGCAAGCATTCCGATGGTGCTTCTGCCATCAGATTTTGTCAAGAGAGTGTATTTCAAGCATAGCTTGTACTAGGTACGGCACATTTTCCGAGCCAAGGAATGTCTGTACTTAATTTTTATAGTTCCAAAATTCATAGATTAGAAACCAATTTTTTTATGAACATTTCCATGCCTCACATGAAATAAGTCGATTATTCGCTAGAAAGAAAAATAAAAAGTCAATAGTAATTCGCAGAAATATAAAATTTTCCCCTTTTCAAAATATGAAAAAAAGTCGATCAAGGGAAAGTTTAAGTAAACAACTTCCTTGGAACTTGGAAATAGGCGAAAACGTTAAAACGGTTCTAAAGCGTGTCATTTTAATTTTTATTATCGTGGTGGAATACGTAAAATCATAAAAGTATACATATGCATAACCTTAAATTTCTATCTTTACTACATACTTGTATTACAAATTGTTTTTGGAATAACAAACCTCTTTAAACTTTGGTAAAATACTCAATTCCAGAGCGTATCGGAAAAAATATGTATAATATATTTTCTATTGGCTCTAGCAAAAAGTGTTGCAACAACAAGGACGGAAAAATCGCTGGGTATTTGTGGAGTTCAAAAAAGTGCTGTAACGTGGATAGCAATAGCAAGTCAGGAAAGCAAAAAGTCTTATGCTGTGCTATGGTCGTGACATATTTTTAATATTAAATGTTTTTGCTAAGCTTTTACTGGATGTATTACATACACAAAGGGTAGTTCAAAGACAAAATAGTTTGGTTTTGTTAACCGATTTTGAGGCTTTGCAAAGTGAAGTGTAAGTTTAGTGATATTCCGAATATGCGTTTAATATGTAGCAGAAAAAAAAGACAAGCCTACAGTGATTTTGGTGCCGTTAAAAAAGAAACTGATTTCAAGTATGTTCGGTACCCTGAGAAAAACTTGAAAGTTACTAGGAGAGCTTTTAGTTTTTCATTACTTAAGCCGGGAAACTTTCTTGAAAGATATACTTAGAAAACACGCAGCAGACTTAACTAAGCCCAATACGGTGTACAATGTCAAAGGCAAATGCTTTTTGATCCAGTTAGCTTTGATGTCCCATAAATATGGTACATATATGAAAAAAGTTAAGAAATTTAAGATCTTAAAGCAGATTGTAAGTAAATGTGGATTTTTATGCACTGAATAGGGTATAATAAGTTTACTGTGATGTTTGTAATACACAAAAGGAAACGTCGGAGACGCTATAAAGTTTATATGTAAAAAATCAACGTAACGAGCTGAATCGATTTAGCCATGTCCGTTTATCTGTCCATCTCTATATACGCGAACTAGTATCTCAGTGTATGAGACATCGGTCTGAAAATTTGCACACTTTCATTTCTTACAAAGAAGCTGCTCATTTCTCGGAACCGCCGATATAGGAACACTATAGCATATATACAAACTGAATGATCAAACTCAAATCCTTGTATGGAAATCCGTTTTATTTGGCAAGGTATTTTCATAACATTAACACATCGCTATAATCTCCAAAAAAAAATTTCAAATCGAACTACTACAACATATATATATATATTATTTTTTTGTTTTATGGATTCGCCAAAAATGGGTGTAAATCTTCGTAATATATTGGTACGGGCCCATCAATTATGCCCGATTCACTATACAATATAAAGTGTAGAGCGCATACGTGCTAAATCATCCCCTTGCTCTCAGACCTGTGTTTTCCTTCGGAACTACCGTTAGGCTTTCCTTCGCAGAGCAGGTATTATATGTATACAATAATGCTCCTTTATATGAATTTCGTTATGAGGATGACCTAATTGTGTCTTGCAGTATCTCGGGACTGCGCTCTCGGTCTTTCAGCAATTTCATCTTCGCGGGCCTTTTGCATAATATACGTTATTATGTCGCATACTGTATCCTATTTAATTTGGGAAGAGAGCATATGACTCAAAATATCAGTGGAATGTACTGATAGAGGTTTCCCTAGTTTCTAGGAGAGTATTTGCCTTTCATTTCGGAAACGGACACATTTTACCAAGAGGTGATCTGCCGTTTCAATGCAATTTTCACAGTACATGCAATACGGTGTTTCAACATTCTTGTATTTATAAAGATAAAAACTGTGGGAGGTAACAATTCACCTCGCCGTGTTCGCGCATAATCCACTCTTGAATATTGGGTATCAAGGTGTGGGTCCCTTACTTGACGCATTCCACACTTTCTGCCATTGATCAAGGCACTTTTCGTCGATTTTTCCAAGATCTTGAGCATGATGGTTGGATGTTTTAACGTGTCGAATGTCACGCACTAGTGAACAACGCAGTGCTGCTAAGTCTATTGGTAGTCTATCTGAGATAACACTTATTGCATCATCGCATACAGTTCTAAACTCACAGCACGTTCTTAGTGATGCTAGTCTATGTGTTAAAACCAATCCTCTCAAATAAGATCTATGTTTTGGTGCTGGTAGCCAAGACATCTCTAGGGCTCCGCGTATTGTAAAAATGTAACAAAATGTATTTGGATTATTCACATAATACCTTCTCTACGACAGCATATCGATATTGTTAATTATAAAAACAAATACATGAAATTATAATTACATAAAATGATGATAAAATTACATTTTTTATGTTATTACCGATCGTTACACACCTGAATATAGCTTCAAGACTTAACAGAGTCATATGTCGCTAAAGTCATAATTTGTTTTTTTAGAACTGTGTAACTTGCAGTGCTTCAGGATAATCAATACGCGAACAAATTCTACTCACATAAAAGTATAATTAAACCACCCTGTAGTAGCTAGAGATGGTAGTCAGCATTTGACTTTCAGCCAAAAAAATTGTATCTATGTAAATGTGATGAAATATTTCGTTATTTTTACCGCTCACATTTCGTGTGATTGATGTGGTGAAAAAAATTACATGCAAAATAAAGAAAAATCCTTAAGAGTACTAATCTTAATATAGAGTGGAGGATTTAAGAATTGCCAAAAAATATTGTTATAGTTATTTTTTTACTTAATACCTGACTTAATTATTAATATGTTTCCATTTGGTAGACCCAGTTGCCTGTACTATGCTACAAAATGTGTAGAATATTTTTTAAATTATTAAAGATGTTCGGTCCAAAGGTAAAAACGGATTTTTGTAAAATCTGCTTATCATTTCTTTCCACTATTTGTTTGGTTTTATGTTCGCATATAACTTAAAAGTTATATGGTATTTTGTCATCTATACCCATGTGTTAACTGGTTATTAATTTTTTTATTTTATTTTTCAAGTTGGTAATATCTAACAATATTTTTGAGTTAAACCATCCACGATATGAATTAACATTAATGCATTCCTTATTAAATATCCTCAGCATTCAAACTTTTTAAATAAAATATCCCACTCCTGGGTCCTGTTTAGAATCAATTAATCACACATGTGAGCTCATAAACAAAATTTAAATTTGAAATTGTAGGGATTGTTAATAAGACCATTTCAGGACTTTTAAGCTTATAGTAAGATGTACATTCTTGTATGCATAGTACACGTAAGTTAACTGTTCAAACAATTAACGTTAAGCGGACTCATTTGCCATTTATTGTAGATTTTGTGATTGAAGCAAATTCTTTCTTCTTTTTTCTTCTAATTATTTTAGGATACAAATTAACTTAATATAACCTCATACGAAAATCCCAAGAGGAGTTTCTCATTAGTAAAACACTAATACGGATCTTGGCTGCAAAAAAGTACTACGAAATCCAGGAGACAAAAGAAGCGCAAACAAAGGCAGACGATAAAGAGAACAAACAAATTAGAGTTTTAGTCAGCAAATTTATTCCTCAAACCGCATTCTCCCGTGATGTGGTAGATAAGATGCAGTTGAGGATAATAACGTAAAAGAATACTGGTGAACCCTAGCAAACACAGCGCTTGATGGCAATAGGCATGCATCACAATCGAACGATAGCACGCGAAGTGGCAAGTATAGCAATGCCAACAGAAGATCCGAGGCCGAATAATTTAGCAAAAATGAGTGAAAACATTATGACGCACACATTTTACCCAAAACAAAAAACCATAACAATAGTGATACATAAAACTAAATTTTATAACGGTAAATACGAATCCCAACAACATCGACAACGAAGCAGTATCGTGCACACCAGAAAACACGTTCCACAGCGACAACGACTCTCCCGTCGCACATATCCCACCATCAAGAGTTATGTGTTCAGCCCCAGCGCACAAGTCAGGACCCCACTGCTTCTCACAATAGCAGCATTTTTGATGTGTCACAGCGGCGTAATTGCTAACGCAACAGCAGTCCAAACGCCACACCCTCACAGCGAGGGAATAATCAGCACTCACTCTGATACAGCCGGCCACAGAGCGACGCGAACGGCACAATATAGTCAACCGTTATCGATTGAGGGGGGAAAGAACAATGAAGATAACAATAGTTTCCGGCCGATTATCCCCAAAGACATTAGTCCAGAATATATTGCACAAAATGTGTTTACGAATGGAGGCCAGTATCGTGTGTTTGAGCCAACAGATAACGGCCTGCGAATCCAAATGGCATTGGGTCAAAAGGTTAACAGTGACGATGGTGTGGCCGTGAATGTCAATACACTAATAGCACAGCGCAATATCAACATGGTGCGTGATATCAGTAGGGTTGACAAAAAAATAAGAACTACAGCCGAAGGAGCAACGGTGGCAAAGTTGAAAGTGGCAACGAATGGCAAACAAAATGCTGGAGGGGGAGAAACGTTCAGGCTAAGTAATAGCAAAAACGGCAAAGAGCAAACAAGACAAGCAGTTGAAAAAGTGGATGCATCAACTAACATCCCAACAACAGCAACAGTTATGGTACACAAAAGCAAAGCGTTGCCGAGTTTCGTTACTGTTGAGCTAGCTCAAGAGGAAAGGAAGATAAAAAGTGGTCACAAAGAAAATGCCAGACCAGAGTCAACAGCCACGATAACAACAGACTTTGCGGATGTGTCTCAAAATGTAGTCGGTGGTGATATAAAGGAGCTGGAGGCCTTGCTGGTCGAATATGCGGAAAATTTTTTCAACCAAGCCCAATATGAGCCTTCTAATGAACTGGTAAATACTTTACAAAACAATCACACAACGGACGGTGGCTCGTACAAAGAGCGTCCGACACGGCATGCCGACGCCAACGCCAATCCATATCATCACCATCACCACCACCTGCACTACCAGCAGCATTCACTGCCGGCCGTTGTGCGTCAGTCAGATGGCAATGTGAGTGTGAATATACCGCGTGCCTTAGAATCTGGAAGGCTGCTCTTCTTTTCAGGTGCATTTTAATGTGTTCATTGCATACATTCCGATAATTAATTGCTTTTTCTGCTAACCACTTTTCATAGGTTTGAAAAAGGCATTATGGCCAGTGTATATAGGCTTGCAGGTGCTGAAATCATTGCTTTTGGCTTTGTTCATGCCGGTATTGATTGGCTCATTCAGCAAATTCCTGGGCAAGGGTAAGTGTAGCTCAACGCGTACGAGTGAGAGTTAAATATTCGGGACAAAATTGCAATTCCGCGCCCTAGTAGCTTTGTTATTGCTATTGTTTTAATGACTAAAACATCTGGCCTAAATGGCACAAAGGTACTTGATGATGTGTAATTTCAATGTTAATTAGCTTCAGTGTCTTGAAGAAATACTGAAGCAATTTAGAAAATGAATAAAAATCGTTGCTTTTGGCCATTTTCATATTGTCGTGTTAACCCGGCAACAAATTAAGTTAACTGGGCTTTTTACACTTTTAAATTGACTGGACTGCTCTAAGCAAGGTTTAACTTCCGTAATTGTTAGAGTTCTAACAATGGCGGTGAGGCCAAAGACATTTTCTTCTCACTGTTCTAGAAAGAGATATAAACATTAAAGTTAAACAAATTGGGTAGAATTGATATTAGCCGCCTCAACAAATTTTGTGACAGGTATAAGCGCTTTGTCAATACTGACTGACATTGCTACAGATCTCCTGCCCACGTAACTACGATGGAGTGTTCGAGGTTAGCATTGGATAGGAAGGCTATTTTCAATCGATCATTCGAAATGTTTGGGTTACGATCTCGCATTTGAATTGACTAACTTTTGTAATCGCTAGGGGACGAGATATGGGCTATCTTAAGAGCATGACAATGATAAACATAGAGAGTTGTTGCTCACAATTGCTTCTTTATGATCCGTGCGTCGCAAAATCTCACTGGTGATTCGTATCATTGACCCATTAACTAGTAGTCCTGATTAAGTGTTTATGTTGAGTCTAAATGCAACAAAAAATCAATGTAACATCATTCGAAATTGCCGCACCAACTTAGTCGGTTCGCAACATTGGATGGTATGCCTTGAAACTTCAGTGTTTGTAAGCAGTGTTGTATCTGCCATTCCATACGTTGGGCGTGCGGTCATTTTCATGGTTGCTGATGATGAGTTGTTGTAAATGGAATTATTACAACAAGTGGTTCTGTAAACATTTTTGAAAGAAGTTGTCAAAAAAATTTTAATGCCTCTAGTAATGACAATGTGGATTGCTGCAACATTTTCAATGCAACATTCACACCGGAACATCTCCCAGCATACATACATACATATTTATATATAATAACAACAGTAAAATCTGAGAAAAGTACGAAAACTTTTAGTTGTCCGTATAATAAATTAAAATGTAAAATTGCAAGAATTTGTTCATCTGTTCTTTAGGCATCGTCTCGGGTTCTGCGCCGCTCTTCATACGTCCGCCGGATACGCCTCAGGATTTAGATTTCCGTGATAATACCATCAATTTTGATGATGACAAGTTCGCCGCCGTCGAGGAGGCCACAAAAGAGGATGGCTATGCCTACAATCAAGCGGGTAAGTTTAGCTAAATTTTATTATATTTTTTTATTTTACTCTGAACTGTCATTCGCAGAGGCCTCGCAAACACACTATACTTACAATGCGGCCGGTGGCATAAATCGCATTGAACAACAAAACAAAATGCCAGACAGCTATTTGAGTGCATTACAGACCATCGGCTCCGCGTCGTTTAAAAATTCCGGTTCGCTCTCGGGCAGTTTCTCTGGGGGAGGACTAGGCGGAGGGGGCCTCGGCGCACCAATGCGTACAAAACCAATTGCACCAGCAAACACCAACACTTTCCAGACTTTCCAAAAGGTGCCAGCCTCGTCGCTACTGCTTTCCAACTACGACCCCTTCTACAGTCCATTGCTCTCACGCTTGGATTCTGTTTTCGCACAATTGAAATTAAATTCCGACAACGAGAACTGTCGTGAAAAGCTGATTTGTCTAATGTACGCAAATCCAGCGAAATATGCGCCCTATAGTAACCTAGTGTCTGCGCAATTATCGCGGTAAGTTTTGTCTGAAAATTATATGTATGACGTGTAGGAGTATGAAACACAATTGACGATGCCTAAAAGTAGGCAATATATTTACCTTACATAGCTTTCTCTTGATCGAAGCGCAAGTTCAAATTTGATGGTGTGGTTGAGAGTCTATATATAAGTAGTACGATTCCTCACTCTCACCAAGTATGATTTATGAATGAAAACTGTTTTGTAAAGCGGTAGCAAGTACATGGCTCCTATGAGGTTAAAAATATTGTAGAGTTTTAACGATTTGCACAAAACTGAGTTTTCTAGGAAACCTCAATACTGAAATATTAACAAGTGTTAAAATATTTTTTTATTAAATATTTTATTGTTAATATTTAGTATTTCAAATCACAAAAACTCACGTTAAAAATATCGATAATATAGTATGGTTGTATAAGTTATGCATTCGACTCTTGAAAAAATTTAATTGAACCCTTGCGAGTCTATATAAAAGATTCTTTTTTGCTTTAAGCAGCCTTCATCCAACATAACACATTTTACCCAATCCTTTGTTTGATTACATTTTATTTTGTAATGGTATTGGAATGTGCAAGAGACGAGCAAGAAGTATTACTTACATTTATATACATAGGTAACAGTGTCTTTCGATGATTTTTTCGATCACAAATAAAAAATAACATAAACATACATAATGCAGAATATATGCCGATTAAAGAAGGTTACTCATACACAGCAAACATTTAGAACTCCGGAATGTTAGCAAAGTGGGAATGGCCGATATTGGTGGCAGCAGAGAGGTAGCACAGCTACATATGCTCAACTTTCCTTATAATAATACTAGTTGTATGTATTAATGTGTTTGTTGAAATTGGAAAATCAAAGCAAGACATCGCACATCATGGGGTTGCGAATTTTTTAATTAAAAAATTTTGGATTAAAAAATAAGTTTTCATTTTTTAATTCCGATGTTGGAAATTCTATTACTAATTCAATTATTGCTCGAATCTCTGCACAAACTTAAGAGGAAATGCGTTTGAGAATTCTTATTTATCTGGAAAAAATGTGGAATCTTGCGATTTAACTGTTAAGTATCATTTTTCATTTGGTTTGTTTTGCTTTTTTGCAGTGAGTTGAATGAGCTGCGCAAACCAACCTCTGATAATGCAGATATTTTGAGATTCTTCAAGTATATGCGCGCCGCCAAGGACGGGCAGGATGGCATTGATTGTGAAAAATCGTTTGATCGTTGTCAGGAATTTAAAGATTTCGAGAATCCAGCCATGGTCTCAACATATCACGATATTAACAAATTGGTATCAGCACGAAAATTGGCGTAGATGGAGGTGAACCGTCATCTTGATAAGGGTTAGCAACCGCAAAAGCGAAGCTGGCAAACGTGAAGAAGACAAAATGGATAAGCGTAAACGAAAATGATTAACGTTCGAGAATTGAGGGCATTGGCATTAAAAATTCAGATTTGCAGGTGTACAAGTTTTGTATGAACTATGCATATATTTAAATAGACTGTTAGAGGAAAAGCCAAATCGAGAATAAATTAATCTTGTACAAAAAATTCACGCATCCTTAAGTTCGTTGGCTAAAAATATTATTCAATAAAAAAGTTTACAAAAATTTTAGCACATAGTTTCATAAATATTATTCGATTTTTTTGATTATTTTTGCAAATACTTTAAAGTAAACAACTGAAAGCCGCTACGAATTTATTAATCAACAATAAAATTTAATAATAATAAAAATCAAAACTCAATGAAAAAAGAAAAAAAAAATACTTGTAAATACTTGAGCATACATATTTAGCATGAAACTTAATCTACGTATATTTATTTTTAAATTAATTTATCTAATATTTTTAACTTATTTATTTTTATTTATTAATTTACTTACATCTAACATATATGATACATATAGTAAATAGTTAGTAAAGTTTTTGAATAAATTATTTACGCCGTTTGCTCTGGGGCAAGTGCTGGCATAAGTAACAATCCTATGTATATACTAATATATATATATATATATGTGTATATATATGTGCGTCTCATATAAAATTTCTTCTGAACCAAATATAATTTGAAATTTGAGTTAGACTTTAATTGCATGTAATTGTGTTAAAAGCGAAATGACCTCAAGCTATTCGACAGAATAATTTCATCGTAAAACTTCTAAGCTATGGCACTTAAACTATAAAATCTTTGAAATAGAAAATTTAAGTATATTTGTATCTAGTTTAATTGAAACATTTTATTTTAGCTTACACGTAAAACGAACTTTGTTATTAATTGTGTTGTTTTTATAGATATTTATTTTAATATCAGATCTATTAAATTCTTTATATTGATCATTGTTATGCTTCATAATTATAATAGTCTATTGCCAATAAAATTTAGTAAAAATTTAACGGAAATATCATTCAATAAATAGTACTTATTTTCTTAAATGAAGTACACCTTCTATTTTTTTACAATATCTGTATAAATTTTTATATTAGGATACCAAAAACCATGACATACAGCAAGTTTCCGATTAACTAAAAATCCTCCATATAAAAAGCGTTTGTCGAATTGTTGAAATATTTGGAATAGTTCCAACTATGAAAAATACAAATTTTATGTTATAAAGGAAACGAACACTAGATACGTACATGTACGTGAAGTAGTCTACGTAAGAATAATAATCACATGAAGAAAGCTTCCGTAAATTATATTAAGTATACCTGTCCGGTTTTGACACGATTGAACACGAGGATTACTTTGAAGGGGATTCCTTTTTGAGCCTCCAGCTCCAGTAGTCTATTTATACTCGCGCACTATGTAATCGTAAGTCTGATGTAAAGTATACAGGAATACAGTAGGAAGTGGCTTCTAAGGCTTAAAAGTTGGCGTGAACCCGCCTTCTAATTGGTTTAATATAATATACCATACATATCGCATAAAATGATGGATGATGGAATGAAATTGGTCCATGTATTATCTAGTATACATACATATATTAAACATAAATTTACATACATTTGTAAATAATAAAATTACGCTGATGACGTTACATATATCATTAACATTTCTGTGAAGGGAAATAACATCACATAGATGGAACTGGTTCTTTTCGTGCAAAAGTGAGTTTATTTTGTAGACCATTCAGAAGCTAGAGCAGAAAGACTGCTTATAATAAACTATTTGATCTCTCATCTTCAATATTGATCAAAATTATCTTGTTATAATTTCTGGACCTCATTTGGGACGTCATTTGGAAACACCTTTAGCATTTTCTAATATTTGGTAACAATTGCTGCGATTCATATGTCGATTCACAAAAGATCGTTTTTAGTGGTGGTGCTTTAAGTAGTGGTAATTTTATATACATATATCTGGCGTTATAAAACTTCCTCTCGTTTTACAATTAAATTTCATATATAGATTTAGAATCGAAAAAACGAAATTAGGGGACAAGTTTAAATGGCAAAGACTGTGTTCATAATAACCTGAGGAAGCTAAATGCTATTTTTATTTTCAACTTACACATAAAGTAAAAATATATTAAAAATGGTAAACAAATGGAAATGTTATTTGTTTAACACATCTGTTAGCCTCAACATGTGATTAATTAATGTACGCTTAAAACCTAAAAAGTTTGACCGCAGGCGACCCAGATAAAGTTCAGTCTCATCCGATTGAATGTCACGCGTTCAATAACTGCCCGAAGCGAAAACTCATAACAGCTTATAATATTTAAATATGTAATTCGCTGGACCCACTTGAAAATCTATGAAAAACCCAACAGAGGACATGAGTAACGAACACAGTGGGCGTGTTGCAACAGCTGTGACAAACGGCAGCAATCGAGAGCTACAGCTACAGCCACAAGGCATTAATCTCGCCACTCGCGAACCAAAGTGGAAATATGGAAAGGTAAATGAGCTACAAAGGCCGAAGGAGATAATGAACCCAGTTGTCTGAGGAAAAAGTAAATGTGGTACAATTTGAGACAACTGCCGAGCATGCAAGTTGTTACGAAGCACGTGTAAGTTTGTGTGTGTGTATGCATGAAAACAGCCAATCTCACAGTGCGATGCGGTAACAATAATTGGCGATTATTCACCACAGGCCAAACACATTTAGCCGAGGTGCAGACAAACAGCAAGTTAATGAATAACAGTGAATAAGATTTGAGTTGTATGACTTCAGTTGAATGGATGGCAAAGCGTAAAGACGATTGAGTTGAAGGGATTACATAATTTCATGTATGTATGTATGCAACTGTTGCGCCTATGCGTTTCGTATTTTCCCACCTAGCGTGACTCATCCTCACCGCTAATACACTGTGAACATGTTTTCCGATCAGCTGTCGCTTATTGTCGCATTAATTCCATTCCGTCGTATACGGCTTTGAACGAAGGCATCAAGGCTGCGGCGGTGTGTAATTCAACCTGACCGAATGTTTTTGGTGGGTTTTCTCAAGGTGCAAGCTGGGCTCATGCGACGCTGCAAGAGTTAACGTCACACGTCTGCAGACACCATACACTTCACTAGGCAAGCAATGGGAAATCGAATAAAAGGAAACGACTAAAAATACGCAGAAAACAATCAAAACAAACAATTAACAACCTACCGCAACTGACTTGCTGTTGTTATTGTTATACTCTCGCAACTTGTTGCTACAGAGTATAATAGTTTTGTTGTTTGTTGTTGTTAAAACTAATCGAGTTAGATGTAAGGTTATGTATTTATAAATGATCAGGATGAAGAGACGAGTTGAAATCCGGATGACTGTCTGTCTGTCCGTCCGTCCGTCCGTTAGTCCGTCCGTGCAAGCTGTAACTTGAGTAAAAATTTAGATATCTTTATGAAACCTGGTACACATGTTTCTTGGTACCGTAAGATGGTTTGTATTGCTGATGGGCGTAATCGGAACACTGCCACGCCCACAAATCGCCATCATTCAAAAACAAATAAATTTCCATAACTAAACTCCACAATAAGATATAAACGCTGTTTCTTGGTATACAGGATCAGCAGTTAAATTTTTTTAAGTGGGCGTGGTATCATCCCCTAATAAATTTAATGTGTATATCTTCTAAGCCGCCAAAGCTATAATAACAAAATTCACTGGCAGCAAATTTTTTTAGCAGCTCTATCGACAGTGAAAATGGGTGAAATCGGGTTGCAATCCCGCCCACTCCCCATATAACGGTACTGTTAAAAACTACTAAAAGCGCGATAAATCAAGCACTAAACAAGCCAGAGAAATTAAAATTTATCTCTGGGATGGTATAAGAGGATTTTATAGGAACCATGTTCAAAATTAGATAGTGGGCGTGGCACCGCCCACTTTAAGGTGAAAACCCATATCTTGGGATCTGCTTAACCGATTTCACCCAAATTCGGTACATAATATTCTTCTCATATATCAATGTTATAGTACAAAAATGGGGGAAATCGGACGACAACTACGCTTATTTCCCATATAACAAGCTTTTAAATTCCGTCAGATTCTTTCACTTTATAGTATACAAATGAAACATCAATAAAGTTATTAGAATAAAACTTCACAAATAAATCGCACTATAACTTGTGCCAGAAATGTGTAAAATCAGCCTCATATACCTAATATAAATAATTTCGAACCTCCGGTTCACTTTAAAACGCACCTACCGGTCTTAATAAAATTTAGACAGAATCTCTTTCAAATAACAGTCTACATTTTTTAGTTTGATATAAAGTTTTGCTAAAACCTATCGGTGTTCTTCCGGCTTGGTTCCTTGCAAGTTGCAAGAGTATGAAATGGTCGATTACACCCGAACTTTGCTCTTCCTTACTAGATTAAGTTTGGGTTTGTACTTTATTTCGGCTGATGTTGTTGTTGTTTTCGCAATAATGCGCATCACAGTGACGCTTTAACGTCGCGCTAAATCTTTGGCTATTATCGTTTATTTTGTTGTTGTTATTTTTAGTTTTTTCGGCGTTTAATTTCTCACTGTGTCAACTGCTTGGCTTACTTTGATTTTGCGCCTTCACATGCTTATTCCTCTACCCTTTGCAATTATAGATTTCTCGATTTCGGTTTTACCAACTCCACAACTCAGCGTCATTGTTTCTTCGTTTCAAAACAAAAATCGCTCTTTCGCATTGTGATCCAGTAAATCTTAGGTTTTCATATAAATTGCTTACGGTCGCTTGGCGTTGGCACAGTTCATTTGTAGAGCCAGCGGTGCAAAGTAGTGGTAGTGGTAGACGCATAACCGTCGAAGGATATTTTATGAAAACCCCTAAACGATTAAAATCAACAACAAAAGGTGAGCAGTCGTCTTAAAACTTAGTGCATTGCAAGTGTTTTATTATGTTTTTGAAAAAAATAATTTTTTTTTGTTACCTCGCAAACTTTCAGTGAGGATTGTGTAATAAGCTAATGAACAATTGTTGTATTTTATGAATGTTGTGGATAGAAGTGATTAAATAACAGCGATTTCTGGCAATTATTGAATTCCTTGAGCCATTTTAATCGTTATTTGATTGAACAAAAATTTCTAAAAAGGAAATTTTTTTTTGTAGTATTTCGTAAATGCAAATTTGACATGGAAATTGAAACCCTCATTTTTATTTTGAAATATATTATAAAAAACCGGTTGACGAATAATTCTTAGAAATCCCTTTGAAAAGTCCATTTTTGTATTTATGTAATTAGTTTTATTTTTTATTAAACAGACATGACTAATTTGTTGCTGAAGGTATTGCAACAGCTCTTCATAAAATCGTTGTGTATGCACGGTTCGCACAACAGTCGGCTCTTTGTAATCGAAACGGACCTAAATTTTTATTTTCCTCTTAAAATCCTTCTTTAAATTCCTCACATACTGTTGAAGATTTTCTGCCCAACAACCAAATTACAACTTTTCCGAAGACAAAAAATTGTTTTTTTTTTGTTTACAGTGTAATTGACTGAAATGTTTCACAAATTTTTCAGATTACTTATTGCATTAAAGTTTTCACTAAGTGTATACATTTATAACAAATGTAATAGTCTAATTGATGAAATTGAAAAGACGAACTTAAGTGCGGTATAACACTAAAAAACGCTGGACTAGGAAACCAATTTTATTTGTATAGGGTTTGTATTGTAATTTCTTCTAAACTTCCCACTATTGTGTTACAACTTCCCCTTCCTGCAACCAAAACTCAACCCAACCTCAAACTCACCTCAATAATGGTAGATAATTGTTGCCACGAAAACGAGTGAATGTTAATGTGTCAGATACTAGAGAGTATTTCATAATAATGCCAATATAAAGATATCATACATAAACAAAACTAATAATTGCTGTTGCAACCCGATGAAATTGCGAAAGAAGGTCGGCCCCGAACGAGTGAGAGATGAAATC